TCATGTTATCTTCTAGTTATTTAAATTTATTCATAAATTTATGTTATGTATTTTATAAGTTTTTATTTATTTATTGTTTTAGAGAGATATTTGCTATAGGGCTCATGTGCTTGCCAGAGAGACAGACAGAAAGCAAGAAATCACCACCCCCACCCAGGGAGGGATGATCACACAGAATCCCTTCTCCCTTCTTTTCTCTGAATCTTGGGCACACACACAAATGTGCCTGGTGTGAGTTTTAAGCTGCTGGATCTGGGACTCAAACTGCAGTCAGCTACATAGGAGTCCAGCAATGTAATCATCTGTTGGTCCTTATTGCTTTGCCTTTATTTTTTTTAATAAAATATACACACATAAGTTTTCCGATTTTTATTTCTAAGAACAAACCTACCTACCTTCCTTCCTTCCTTCTTTCCTTCCTTCCTTCCTTTCTTCACCAGGGAGGGACAGAGTAAGAGAGAAAGGAAGGGAGAGGGGAAGGGAGGGAAAGTGAGAAAGCAAGCTACCAGGTCTGGGACTAGAACTGGGGTCAGCCATGTGGAAGTCCAGGGCCCTTAACCACCACACCACCTGCCAGCCCCCCTATTGTTTTCCTTTTTAAGGACAGGGTCATGCCATTTTGTGATCCTCTTGCCTCAGCCTCTCAGCTGGGACTACAGAGTTACCACCACTCTCAACTCTTTTCATACAGGGTTTCAGTATTTTGCCCAGGCCCCTTAAACTTGAATTCTGCCTGCCTCAGCCTCCTGGAGTAGCTGGGATTTCAGGCATGGCTCCTACATGCCACCTTGAGGTTGGACCAGGGACGGAATCTAGGCCTCCTGTGTTGTCCCAAGCTGAGGACTGGAGCATGATGTTTCAGGATTGTGCCATAGTGTCTGGGGCTGGAGAAGCTTTCCTCACAATTAAAAAAACAAAAAGAAAAAAAGAAACACAACAAACAAACAAAAAAACAAACTTTGTAAACTTTGTTGTAATAGAAGTTCTTAAAACAGAAACTAAAAAAGCACTTTTATCTAATGCAAGTGGAGTCTACATGAGTGGCTACATGAACACCTATGATTAATAATACGTTAATCTCTGGTGAATCTGGGAGTAGAAATAAAGGAGCTGCAAAGTCACTTCTCTCAATTAAAACAATAGGCTAATAAGGAGGCTAATGATGGACGAAGTTCTCAATTTTAATGAAAAATGTCTCTAGAATCTAATGACTCTCAATAACTACTTCTCAAAGAAAAGGCGAAAACCACAGTACTTAACACTATAAAAGACTGACTGGGATTCCAGTTGAAGAAAATATCTTTAAAATATTTAACTGCTCCTATTTTTATTGTGATTATGATTATTTTAGTTATTGTTAGTGTTCTAGAAACTTGAACTCAAATCTTTCTCAGTAACATAAATATGGTATTGTAGTAGAAATGTCTGTTCTATTATAGTACTGATTTTGTAGAAGAGAGAAATTGAGGGTGAGTAAGGTTAAGTAATGTGTCCATTTTCACATAACTGGCAAGTGGTGGATCCATGGTTAGATTCTAAGCCTCAATTCCAGGGTCCGCGCTCTTAACTTCTATGATGTATCAGGCAAGTAGAATTCCTTTTTCCTAATCACCACCACTATTTTCTGATCACCACCAGGTTTTGTTCTAATTTGCCAGATGGCACATACATTTACTAGAGACAGAGAAAGAGAAAGCAGCCCTCATGGGAGGTAGTTTCCCTGTAAACTTTATCATCCATTTTTCCTTCCTTTCAGGATTCTGGACATGTGCATGCTCCTAGAGTGTTTTCCAAGCAGCCACTGTGGACTGGAAACACACAGTAGGCCATGTGGAATCCAGCTGCCTTTACAATCACATCACTGGCTGGCCTGTCACCATATTTTTTGACCCCAAGGTGAAAGGACAATTCCATAAATGTATAATTCCATCTTGGGTATCAGCTCTTCTCTCTTATTTATTTATTTATTTATTTATTTATTGAGAGAGATTTTTGCTATAAAGGCACATGTACTCACCAGGGAGACAGAGGGAAGAGACAGAGAGAGAGAGACAGAGAGAGAGCAAGAAATCCCCCCCCCCCCAGGGAGGATGATCACCCACAATCCCTTCTCCTCTTGGGATCTTGGGCATGCACATAGATGTGCCTGGTGTGAATTTTAAGTTACGGGATCCAGGATTCGAGCTGCAGTCAACTATATGGGAGTCCACCAGCATGACCATTATGACATCTGCTGGTCCCGGGTATCATCTCTTCTGTTTGTCGTATCTCTTCAAGGACAATGTCTATTCCCCCCTCAATAGCATTAAATGTGTCCATTTACTCCTAATAATATTCCTTGTTCTGGCTAATATTAATGGAGCTATCCAGCTTTCTTATGAGCATTATGCAGTATATATTATCTTTGTATTTTTTACCTTTTCTGTGTCTTTATATTTAAAATGGAGTCAAGGAAGGCAATGTATTTTAAACATCACATGGGACAGGTTATGCCAAAGATTTTATTGGCAAAAAGGGAAGCTTGCAAAGAGGAGGTAAGAGATGTCAACCTAAATAACAGGGAGACTTTAAAAAATTATTTATTTATATATTATTTTGTAATTACCAGAGAGAGAGAGAGAGAGAGAAAGCAAGTAAGCAAGCTCCCCCCAGTGGGGCCTGTTTACACTGCAATCCTTTTTCTTCCATTCTTCCATACCATCAGGGAGGATACTGGGCACACGTGCACACACACATCCTGTGTGTTTTTCAAGTCACTGGGGCTGGGATTTGAACTGTGGTTGACCATATGGGATCCAGCTTCCTCCACCAGAACTTAACCACGGCACTAAGGGGTGACTCAAAACATATTTTTTTCCTTGGCATGTGCATATGCATGAGAAAGAGAGACAGAGAGAGAAAGAGAGAGGGAAGCACATTTGATAGAGCCTTGTCACACTGTAATCCCCTTTTTTCTGCCCTCCAGCTTCCCAGGTGCCCGCATGCACAACTGGTATGTTTTCAAGTTGACCTAAAGATCTTAACCTTAACCACCACACCACTGGCCCCAAAGGTCCCAAAGCTCTTTTCTTTTCAGCACATTAGCAATAGAAATACATAGCTGATTTTCATTCATTGGAAGTCAGAAAAGAATAAGAAAAACAAAAAAGCCAGAAAAAAAAAATTAGATCTTTTCTGTGAAAATGAAAAGAGCACATTAAATAAAACCTAAATCTGGATACAGTATTTTTGTTTCACTGCTTTAATAGCTATTAAAGTTAAAATAAGCATTGCAATTTTCTCTGGTTGGAAACCATTTGATTTATGAAGGAGAGTGCCGCCCCCTTCCCTTGTTGGGCCTGTCTGATATCTAAGTATGCTTTAGTGCTGCTATTATGCACTGTTGAGTCAAGGCATAAACATTAGTTGATCTGCCTATTGTATATTTTTTCTTGATTAGAAAATTGAATCCCATTTATTTTCTTAAGTACATAGAGAAATATAGGCCAAATAATTTTTCGAAAGTAAGTCATGTGAAGTATTTGCAAACTAGTGTATACTGGAGCTTTGAACATGTTCTTTAACATAGTTTTAGTAAGAAAATGCCATCAACTTTTGATCTACACCTTGAGGAGTATCGTCTATAGGCTATTTATTTGCTATGTCTATCAGAAAATAGAAAGGTCTGTTTCACTCAGTATTTACGTTTTCACATGCTAGTATGTGAAAAGGTAGAAGAAACATAGGCATTTATAAAGGTATATGTGTAAGAAAGTGTATGTTTAACATTTTGTACATTTGTTGTTACAAAATAAAAATGATTCAACATTCTCTAGGCAGATAAAGCTCATTAGTAATAATAGGATAAAATATTATTATTATTATTATTATTGAATTGTTGAGAAAATATTTTCAAGAGACCCTCCCCCATCTATCCTCTCAAAATAATTATCTAGTGGTATAACTTTTAGGTCAATTTTATGTATTGAGAAAATGCAACGGGTAGATTTTGCATCATATTCTTCAAGCCGGATTATATTTAGAAAATATCTAGAAATATTTTTGCACTCTCCTAAGGCAATGAGTTCTCTGGATATTTTCTATTTTTTCCTAGTGTCTTTAGGAGAGTAGACGTTTCTTTACACAGCCACGTCTCTTCTATATGCCATAAGTTTGATAGAATGAATCAGTCAGCAATGATTGCTCTAAGCCATAGTGCATTATTGTTTGGCAAAGAGATCATTGCTGTGTGGGAGGGAAATGGGATTTGAGTTGCATCAGTGCTGTTTGCAATCGACTTGGAAAACACATGGGATCTCAGAGTATTTTAGAGACCTGCTCTCTTTTCAGCTCTTATTCAAGAACTGCCTGCTGAAAAAAATAGCAAGAAAGCAAACACTGAACTGCTACTTAGAGTAGTGTGTTGTTCTAGCCGAGTATGCCAGAAGTGTCTTCAAGAAGAATGGCTTCTGTTGTGCGCCTGCATACTAGTTTTGTCTTTCACATTAAGATTTATGCTTTATGGATTTGTTCTACGATAAAAGAAAAAGAAGCAGTTCTCACCCTAGGAGACTGTTATTTCTTTATCTCTTCCTTTTTCTTTCTCTCTCTTATTTCCGAGATATCTCTTTTCATATCAGAAGCCTTGCCGGGTGAATTGAAGTATCAGGCATTGTTATTACAGGCTCTTCCTTTTGTGCGGGATAGAATTCAGTGATAACTTCTATGAGAGGTAACGGACAGGGAGGGGAACAGATCCATGTTGCCAAAGAGAAAGAAGAAACGTGATGCGACTCCTGGGGTATCTGAGTTTATCCTCCTTAGACTATCATCTATAAATATTAGAAGGAAGATCTTTTTGCCTTTTTGTCAAAGAGCATTTTCTGTCTTATGAGAGATATACAAATGAGTATTTTCTATTCTAAGACTGATTAGTAAACCAGCCAGGAGTTAACAGGATAATCTGTGTTAAGGGATACATGAATAGAATCTATTTTCAAAGAACTTTCTTTGGTTTGCAGGTACAATTCTGGTGGACAACATGTTGATCAAAGGGACCGCCGGAGGACCAGATCCCACCATCGAGCTCTCTTTAAAGGACAATGTGGATTACTGGGTGTTGTTGGATCCTGTTAAACAAATGCTCTTCCTGAACAGCACGGGCAGAGTTCTGGATAGAGATGTTAGTGGTTTGCTTTTTCTTTGCCCTTGTGTTATGACTTTATTATATTTAAATGTCTATATACATTGGTAGATATGATATTAAATTTTCTTTATATAATTTGAGTTCAATTCGTGGGTTTAATCCACAACAAAAAGAAATTTAACTCTTTGAAAGATGAATGAAAAAGAAAGGGAACATCTGTGTCTGAGAGAATTCTTGTATTTTCCCTTTTAATATCTTGAAAGCTTGCCAGGCTTCTGAATAACAAGAGAAAACCGTGCTTAGAATAGAGGCAGTAACCTAGGCAAAGTAAGAAAAGCATGGCGGTGACCCATTCCTCCCCAACAGTGGCGAAGTAGGAGAAGGCCACTCAGCTATGGACTTGAGGACCGAGAGTTTGATAGGTGGACACAGGTGGCTGCTCTCATTGGTAGTAAGCCTGGGCTAAAGGTGACACTGTGGCTGTGTGCTTTTATAGCTGCAGAAGAAGAAAAAGGTGAGCGCGGTTCCTGCTAAGGTCACCTCCAATAGTCCTCAGGAAGCTCGACATAAGTATTTTGTTCTTAAGAACAGCTACATTTCCAAAGTTGTATCTTTTTTTAAAGTTGAAGAACTGTAGTAGAATTAAGTAGCCCTCTAGAGTCATTTTGTTCTCACTTATCTACATTTCCATCTTTCTTGAGTGTAGAAAAGGGAGCAGAGGTTGGAGGATTATAACCAGTAATTGTACAGGACCCTGAAAGAACTTAGGGAGTATATCAACACAGATCTACCCCAAAATTCCTAGTGCATGAAATCCAAAAGTCAGATAGTCAGCTTAGTGAATCTGATGATCTCATATTGTCACTCAGAGTTTATGATCCACTTTACAATAGGTTATAGAGTAGATCATCTCTTAATCTATTCTGTGTCTAAATTTTGGAGTCTTTAATAAATCTCAATTTGCCTCTCATTTGAGTGCAGTTCACTATGTCCTTTATTGCTGTACCTTGGAATTTCTTTGATTTTTGTACATCACTCTTCCTGCTGCCACAGTGCTTTGAGGGCTTCATTCATCAAACTATAAAGGGCTTTTATTCCAAAAATTCTTAACCCAGAGCCCATCTGTTTTGTGTGAAGCATGGGCCAGTGCTACTAGACAAATAAGGTAAATTTGGGCTTTTTGTACAAATCTAATCACAACTAGAAATAGGCAATTATAGTGTCATTTAATTGTAAAGTAATATAAGCTTATGGTAAATATATCATTAAAAAACCACACACAGTTATTCTATCTAGGCAAAATATAACATTTAGTATTTTTCCTGCTATGTAGTATTTCCAGCATATATGCATGTTGATATGTATATTTATTAATTATAATCAAATCATGCTATACATGATGATTTTGCATGTAATTTTAATATACATATTTCCATGTAGATGAATGTATATTTATATAATCATTTTAATAATTACATAGTGTTTTATTGGATGAAAAAAAGATATTATTTAAACTAACATTTTAGACATTGAGGGTTTTTTTTTTTTTTTTTTTTGAGAAGTTTTGCTATAGAGCATGTGTACTTGCCAGAAAGACAGAGAGAGACAGAAAGTGAGAAACCACCCTCCAGGGGAGATGGCCACACCACAATTCCTTCTCCATTCCGCTCTCAGTATCTTGGGCATGCACGCACACACACCCAGTGTAAGTTTAAGCCACTGGGTCCAGGACTTGAACTGGAGTCGACTACATGGGAGTCCAGTGACATTGACATTACGCCAACTGCTGGTCCCTATGATGATACTTTTCTAAGAATGTTCTGATTTTAATCAAAGTTCTTTGGCTTATAAGGAGAATATAAATGTCCCTTCAAGTGAATTTAAATGGATAGGGGAGAGTATTAAGACTCTTAATATCAAAGAAATGAAAAATTTGGTTTTTGAAAATTGAGTTTACCAAGGACAGAGGAAAACTCCTTGGCATGGACCACATGATCTCTGGTCTCTGCCTTCACGAATATTTTCTGTTTCTTCCCCAAACTAATTTCTTTGTCAATAAGTTTGTTTCCTCATTTCCTCATTTTGTACTTGACTTTAGCTGTTTATTATGTTCACTCCTTCTAAATTTTTATCGCCTGTATGTTTTTTGCAAATTAGTGAAGAAGTAGCTAAATATTTACTGGCTTCAATCAATTATATCAAGAAAGAAGGGGTGAGTCTCTTGGTAGATCCATGTTCAATTATATTTGTCTTCCCAGAAGCAGTTAGGAGAACATGTGTTTTTCCCGAGAAGGCATTATAAATTACATTTTCCAGACTTTGTTGATTGATAGAGGCCACAACTATCTTTTTGTGACATTTGTACAATTATGACTACACAGGACTAAAATCAAATTTAATATAAACAAAAATATCTTAACATTAATGGTTAAAGAATAAGCTAATAAACTAATGATTTTATAAAATATTGAGGGCAAAAATAAAACATAAATATACAAGCTCCAAACATTTGTATTTAATTAGAAAACTTATAGGAGATTGTCTGAATAAGAACTGTTTCAATCTTAGTCCATAAGTTTTGCCCTACTGGTCAATATTTTTAATTTCCAATTTATGTTTAATTACCAGATAATGTGTGGGCTCACAAGAGAGAGAGAGAGAGAGAGAGAGAGAGAGAGAGAGGTGTGAAGAAGGAGGGAGAAAGCACCCTCTAATCAAGAATAGTCACACCACAATCCCTGTTATTCAATTTTTCAATTTCATCAGGATTTAGGGCATGCATCCATATGTACCCAGCATGTGGTTTTTTTTTTTTTTTGGAGAGGTTTTTGCTATAGGGTGTGTGTGCTCGCCAGACAGACAGAGAGAGACCGAGAGACAGAAAGTGAGAAATCACCCACCAAGGAGGATGGCCACGCTGCAATCCCTTCTCCTCCATTCTCCTCTTGGGATCTTGGGCACACACGCACATGCGCCCAGCATGAGTTTAAGTCACCAGGTCCGGGACTTGAACAGCGGTCGACTACATGGGAGTTCAGCGACATAACCATTACACTAACTGCTGGTCCCCTCAGCATGTTTTTTCAACCTCCCAGCCCAGAAATTGAACTGAGGTTGGCCATGTGGAGTACAACTCCTTTAACCACTAGTCTACAGGGCCTGACCCTGTTTTTGTATGTTTGTTTGTTTATTTATTTCTTTGTTTTTTGCCATATGCTCACCAAGAGAGAGGAAGCAAGAAATCCCCCCCCGCCCACCCCACAGGGAGGATGGCCATGCCACAATCCCTTCTTTTCTTGGGATTTTGGGTATGCATTCCCAAAATCACCCAAAGTGATTTTTAATCCACCAGGTGCAGGACTCGAACCACAGTCAACTATACATGAGTCCAGTGACATAATCATTATGCTATCTGCTGGTCTCCAGACCATGTTTTCAATTTTTATTTTACTAAAGTAGTATAATTTTCCTACTCTGAAATAAAGGAGAAGTTATATAATTGAGGGTCACAAATAATAAATCAACCAAAGTATGGCATCTGGAGAGAATATGAGGAGTTTCAGTAATGAAGGAACATCACATAAGGATCTTTGAAATGCCAAATTATTGTCTTTCTTGGCCAATATTTTCTGATCTCTATTGGGCAGGAGATAATGATCATGATGCATCAATAATCCCAGTGAGAAGAAGAAAATTATGATTCTGGAGCAGTTTTGTAATACTTAACTCAAAACTCTGGGCAAAATTTAAAAAGCTTTTGAGCAGAGAGAAATTGTATTCATGACACCAACATCTCCACTCCTTCTCTTTCAGAGCCTAATTATGCAGGTGTACAAACAGCTCTGACTACCTTCCCACACCAATATCCGTGCTAAGTTTGGTAGTTCCATCTCCACATCATAATTTGTATCTGCATTCAGGAAGATCACTTCAATGCAAGGTCTCTTCTCTCTTGGTCAATTGCTTCATTGTCCTCTCCACTGTCTTTCTTGATTCAACCTGTTCTAGATTCAGTGCCTTAGACCCATGCTGACCTTGTCAAGAGAGAGCCTTTCATTGGGGCCAGCAGTTAGCGTAATAGCTATGTCACTGGACTCCCGTGTAGTCAACTGTGGTTAGAGTCCTAGACCCAGTGGCTTAAACTCACACCGGGCACATGTGTGTGCGTGCCCAAGATCCCCAGAGGAGAATGGAGGAGAAGGGATTGCAACGTGGCCATACACCCGGGGGGGTGATTTCTCGCTTTCTGTCTCTCTGTCTCTCTTTGTCTTTCTGGTGAGTACATGTGCCCTATAGCAAAAAACTCTCAAAAAAAAAAAAAAAAGAGAGAGAGAGAGGGAGAGAGAACCTTTCATTGCAAGCTCTTTTATACCTAGCCCTTGGGATTTCCTAGACTCAAGCTACACTGTAGAAATAATCTCCTTTTATTTGGAAACAGAGAAACTATAATTTAGGAAAATTAACTATTTACTGTCTTCTAAACATAAATCAATCTTATCTTAACAGATATTTCCTGATACTCTTTTTTTTTATTTGGAGAGGTTTTTGCTATAGGGCGAGTGCTCTCTCCAGAAAGAGAGACAGAGAGACAGAAAGCAAGAAATCACCCCACAGAGGAAGTGGCCACGCCGTAAGCCCTTCTCCTCCATTCTCCTCTCAGGATCTTGGGCATGCACGCACACACGCCCGGCATGAGTTTAAGGCACAGGGTACAGGACTCAAACCATGGTTGACTAAGTGGGAGTCCAGCGACATAGCCATTACGCTAACTGCTGGTCCTTTTTTTTTTTTTTTTTTTTTGGTAGAGGTTTTTGCTATAGTGCTTGTGTGCTCACCCCCCAGCGGGAATGGCTACGCCACAGTCCCTTCTCCTCCATTTTCCTCTTGGGATCTTGGGCATGGACACACTCGCACCCAGCGTGAATTTTAAGCCACTGGTTCCAGGGCTCGAACCTTGGTTGACTACATGGGAGTTTAACGACATAGTATTACGCTAACTGCTGGTCTCTCCCTGATACTCTTTTGAACTTAAGATT